CTCTGAAAACTTGTGAGACCCACTGTATGAGATGTGCCACAGGCTTCTGGTTGGATCCTGGTGAACCATCCTGAAATCTGGTCTGAGTTACTAAATTCTGGCTATCGTGAAGTGCTGCTTCACAACTTTTTGCATTTTCTTTATTCCTACTTTTGTGGGTTGTTCTTACTTGCTCTTTTCCAGAGTTGAATCTGAGCACTCTGGTTTTGATCTACTTTGACAGCACTAATTGAATTTATTTAAAATACTGTTATGAAATTGCAGTTAACTATATCTGAAGAATGAATGCTATCTCTTTAGAGAGATCCCCTTTTTTTTCAGACACACTTAAAAGCAGAAGTGCGATTTTCCTTGTTTGGCCTCCAAGAAAATGCTTGTGGAATTGGGAAGGGAGATGAACCAGTGCACCTGTAAGGTGTTTGGCCTGTTTGTTTTTTAAAGCCTAGGCAGAAACAATGAAATCCTTTTGAAGGAAGGAAAAAGTACCTTTTACCACTGACTTGATTTCTTTCAACAAAGAAAGATGGAGCAATGTCCTCTGAGATTTCACTGAAAATTGGGTGCTGTAGTCTTGAAAAAAATGCTGGCTTTACATGCTCCTTAGTGGTACAGTCAATGGCATAAAGAGTGGATGATACACAGAATAATTTCGCTGCATATGGAATCGAGGGAGAGCTTGCTGTTTTCTGCATTGAGTTCAGAGCAGTTGTTGTTCAGGCACAGATAGCCACACAGCTGCCTGTTCAGCTCCTAGCACTGGCAATTACTCTGAGCTGGGTGTCTTGTTTTCATGGCTGTTTGGCCTCTTAAGAAAGCAGTGTCTCTGTGATTTTCCTCCTTGGCTTTCTGGTGAGGCTCTGTCTGCATAGTAGCAGAGCAAGAGAGCTTTAAATCACTGACCCCACCTTGTCAGTGGATGGTCTCCGTGTGCCTGTGGTTGTCCTCTCTGCCTTCTGAACAAAGGGTGCAGATATCTGTTTTACCGTATCAGCGGGGTGGCTGGGGCCCTTGGGCTCTTTTAAAGCCAGGGTTGCTTGGATTTGGTGGCAAACTTGGGAACAGAGCTTGGCTCTTAACGTGCCTGTGATTTATCTACTCGACCATGTTACTTACGCTCTACAAATTGCTTTAAGTCTGTGAGTCTGCCTGTGTATGTTGTGTCAAGCTATATTTGCCACCTTTGCAGTGTGTACAGAGTTGTGAAGACCTGAACAAAAATCTGGTTTAGTGGTTCACTGATATAAACACTAGGCAAGATCAAGCAGTGCAGACCTTTTTTCAGGTTGCTCAGAGCTCTGCTTTCTGCATTTTGCTAAACTGACTTCTTCAGGTGTCTTTTATCACTGTTCCACTGCCTGTGAAATGGCAATGTTTTATCTATGTACCAATCTGGATTTGTTTGAGGATTGATTAGAAATGTATTTGCAGTGTAATATAAAACCAAGTTGTAGCCTGTTGAGGTGATCAGCCACAGCCTCAACAGGGACAGCTGGTACAATGGACCCATGTATGGAGAAACTCTTTTCAGGAGTTCTGGTGGTGGAATGGAAGTTTTCCACCACATTTTATATGTATGTATGAGAAAAAAGGCAAAAACTTCAGGTCAAAATTATTTGACAGCTTGTTAGCAAGAAAACACTTTCTTCTGCCTCTTGAAAATAATAATTTTATATATATATGCATATATACAAAAAAATATTTAACCTTCTTGTAGTTGGGGGATAGAAGGTTGAAACTGTCAGGCAAATAGCCACCATCCAGCAGAAATGCTTCTGAATGCTTTAGTGAAAGCCAGCTTTGATTTGACAGTTATGAGGCTTTGAAAATAGCGCTGTGTTTATACAGCACAGTAAATACTTTGAAGTGCGTTAGGCTGTGCTGTACATGCGTGGCTAACTAGAGGAATATTAAATGCCTACATCTTGTGTTGAGTGAGGGAGGATCCTGCAGCAATTGGAATTGCATGCTCCTCGTACTTTTATAAGATTGTGTCAAAGCAGTAGATTTGATAATAGACCTGATTATACAATTGCTTAATTTCTTGTCAAAATAACATTTCTACATGCAGTGTTCCGAGATCTTTGAGGTGACCTCATGTTATTTATCAAATGTCAGTTTTTCATCCCAGCAGCTTTGATATAATCGTGTAGCATCGTGGAGTACCGTGTACATGCAGTTTTTGCTTGCTGGAGTTCTTTGAAGTGCCTTACTCCTTAGAAGAGTCATTGCTGTGTGGAAGATCCTGCATTTAATAACTGGGAAGCCAGTATGGAAGCACTGCACTATGTCACTGAGGGTCGTGCTGCCTCTCACATGCCTAATGTGGGTCTAAAAGCGAAGGAATGAGAGATTCAGTGTACCAGGGACAAGCACACCCTGGCATACATTTTACTCAGCAGTAAGCTGCAGGGGATATAGTAAATCTTCAGCCCTGCTCCCGTGGGAATGCTGGGTTTGTGGTGTTGAGCTTCCCCAGGTGCCTGAGAACAGCAGGAGGGCTTCTGTAAAGGAGCAGAGCAGAGGGATGGCTGTTGGTGACAGTCCTGAATGAAAACTGGTCTGGCAGGCACTGCTGGAAGGTAGTGATGCTCCAGGGAGCCTTGGAAGAGGGCTCATTTGGGAGGAGAGAGGCAAGAGAGCTGTAAAAGGTGAAGGTTAACACGAAGGAAAGTGTATGGCTCGCCCCCAGCAATTCCGACTGGTGTCGTGTGTCATGTCCCCTTGCAGCAGGGTGGGGAATTACTGCTTGCTGTAGCACTGGGTTTTTCTCAGAGGAGCTCTGTCCTGTACTGACCCATCCCAGCCCCACTTAGCTTATGAAAACTGACAAGATTGCAGCCCAAGGACTCACGCCTGAGGATTGCTTCTTATCTTTCATTCTGGAAGCCTGTTGAAGGGATGCCGAAAGGGAGGGAAAGAGCACTTGGGTTTTTTTCTGTGCTGAACTGATTAGTGACTTGCTCTTCCCAAGCCTTTTGTTTAAGCAGTGTGGTGTTAATACTTGTAAAAGAACAAACTGCTGTCTCCTTTGTCCTGTCTCCCCATCCGGTATTTCAGGATATCTTCCCCCAGCCCCTTTCAACAGATTAATTTGTAGAGAATAGCTTGTTGGCAAGCTTGACATAGGTGTCTTTTACCTGTGGTTGTTCATGCTGATGTGTCTATTTAAATTTTTGAAAAAATGAACCCAGAGAAGTAAGGGGAAGGAGATTGCTTGTGGCTTCTCCTAACTCCTGAAAAGTAAATGAAGTTCTGACATAAGCCAAAGCTATGAAAGCGGACCATAGAGAACTCTCATTACCCACTGGGCTCGTGCATGCAGTGCTGACCGATGCTAAGGCTGTTAACTGCTAACATGATAACATGCAGAAGTCTATCATATATTAGGGAAATACTGTTAAAATGTTTCTTGAAAAATCCCTTATTGCTCGAGCTTTTGATCTTTATCGGTGTTCACAATAGCTGGGGCTCTATGGCAGCCCGGCTGCTGCTCAGGTAAGCGACGCTCCACGTAGGGAGCTCCAAACTCCACTTGTAAAGTACATAGACTGCTCCCAGCACTGCTAACAGAGGTGGAGCTGAAGTGATGTTGGCAGCTGCGCTGGAGTGTGCCAGGCTGAGCTGAGGTCAGCGCGATGTCGTGACAGGGTGCGCGACGGCGTCCCCGACGCCCCGGTTGACCCGCACCTGCCAGTGCCACTGCTGCTGGTGAAGCTGAAATGGCAGGAACACTGAGGGGAAGTGTTCATAATGTTCCCGTACAGAAGCAGATAGCTGTAGCTTAGGCTTTGAGGGTTTTTAAAAGAATTTTTCTTTTGGCTTTTTCCCCAGACTGATTTCTGGAACTGTGTCAGAATCTGCCAAGAGCTTGTTCCAGTCCCAAGTGAACCAAGTAGTTCAAGTGTTTTTTACATAATAGCAGATGGGAAATCGAAAAGCTCTCAGTGTTTGTCTGTGTGCACCTTGAATCTGATCACCGGTGTCCGTAACTGTCTGTCTCCTCCGCTGCTTTGGGGAAGGAGCTGTACAGAGTCAGAAGCTGTCTAGGACAGCCGTGCATCCCCACGGGATTAATAATGCACTGAGATGTTGTTAAAGACATTAAAAATAAAGTTTAATGCACATACAGTTGTCTGTTTGACAAGAAGTGTTAGTGCTATTCACAACTCTTGAAAGTTACACTTGTGAGAGTAGCGGGCAACATGTCTGTTGCAAAAGACTGTTTTAGAATGATTTTTTAAAGTACCTAAAAAGAGTGATTACTTATACAGCCTTTATATCATGGCTACTGTTGGTTATCCATGTTCTTGTCAGAAGGAAGAGAATAGTTGCTAGAGATACCATTTTCTCAGAAAAGGGGATAGTGGCATGAGAAACTTATAAAACACTTAATTCTCTGAGCCTTTAAGTTTGTATTATGCTTTGTCAGTGATTGTCTTCATTGCACATTTTAAGGATGTAGAGCAAAAGGTTGGATTTTCTGTGGCCTTTGTTGTTTTGAATGGACTTCAGGAGAGATGTGCTCTTTGGGAGAGGTCCACGTGTGTGGTGACAGGGGGTGGGGGGAAGTATGGGAGGAAAGGTGTCTGTACGGTCTTACTTGAGAGGTGTGGATGGGCAGGCACAGGTAGGCTCAGCAGAGCTGCATTTTGTGGCCACACTGTACTGCATTTTCATGGGCCTCATTAAATATTCTTTGAGTTTCTGGGAGGCTTATCCTGTGGTCCTAAATTCTTACATTAAATGAATAAACTCAAGGAATTTCTCTCCACAAAATGGCATAAAATCTTGCATGCCCTTTCCCCATCTGTGTCTGTTGGTCTTCAAGGTGCTGATTTTAGGCAAGTCTCTCTTTGCTCAGCCCCTTTCTCTGTGCTTCAGGGCTGGAGGTAGTTGTGGGCAATAACCTACTCATTTAGAGTTCAACAGAGATGCTTACACCACATGTGGAAGAGAAGGTAATTTCCCTGTGGAGGTTGCAGTGCTGCCTGATAGAGATTGTGTAGCCCTCACATTCATGTCACCTAAGCTTATTTTGCTTCAAGTTCTTGATTATTCTGTTTATTGAGAGTAATTTCTGGAATAAAACTGTGAGCAGAGAGATAATGCTGTGCAGACTTTGGAATAGCAGTAATTTCTCTGATGTGGTAAGATGGAATTCTCTGGGAGACTGTGAGAACTTTGTGTGTAATTTTTATGTTATGACATAAGCATAGGAAAGTCCATGCTGTTTCAGGATAAATCAGGACCATCTAGAAACTGATGACTGGCTCTGAGTTGCTATCTAATCACCTTAGATGAACAACTTATCTCTATCTACCCTTAGATTATCTGAAGGTACCTGAAGTATTTTCTGCCCTTGTTTTAAGAAAAAGGGCAGAGAGACCTGGCAGAAGATGGGCATCAAATGTATTTCAATAAGTCTATCCATGCCTTTGGCATCAGTCAGCACTGCCTCCTTTGTGCCAGTGAGCACCTGGACACCTGGTAGGATGAAACAGGAAAGTTGTTTCCTGAATAGTATACATATCTGGAGTTAGTTTTCAGCTGTATCATAAGTGCTGGAAGGGATAGAGTTGGATAGGCTTACACTGGTTGAATTTGCTTTCCTGGGTCCAGTGCAGAGCTGGTGTGCAGAAGGTAAGGTTGCATTTTTTGACAGACCTATTTGAATGATGTTGGGGTCAATTCTAGTAGTGTGATAGCCATGTGCTTTATCCATTCCTAGGAAAGGATGAGGAGGACAGTTTTTGCTAGGAGGCAGAGACAGATTTAAAGGTGTATTTATTAGGGTAGGGAGCCCTGTCTAAAAATTAGAACTGCTTTGAGGGGTTGAAGTGTCTTGTGTCCCTAAATCCTCAAGTGTCATAGGGAGATGTGTGGGGTGTAGAATATTCATGTCATTTTATCTATTTGCTTTTACATGATCTTAAGGAAGTTGGACAGCTCAATAAAGCTTTGAATTACACTTCCTGTGTCCTCCTTGCTTGCCAGTCACTCTCCTTATCAATGAGGTGTGTAATCAAGTACGTTATTAAACAGCAGCTTATTAAAAAGTAATGTGCAGCTCAGCTGCAAGTGTGTAAAATAAGCAAATGCTCAAAAAAACTGGTAAGTGCAGCACGTGATGAAAACCAGTAGTAGCTCTTGGGTGTAATGGAGTCACCTTTTGCCAGTGCAGCTATTCTCCCTCTCATGTGGTTGAATGAGGGTCGGGGAAATTGGAGGTGCCCTTCCCAGTAAAAATGTGCTGAAGGAGCGCGTTGGCTGATTCATTGCCTTGCCCCACCTCTGGGTCGCACAGGGAATCCACTGGTGGATGCACTGGCAGAAGTTTGTTTCCTGGTGGCTGTCAGGATCAGCAGTTGCTCAAATACCTCCTGCTGCTGCTATTCTTGGTTCCTTCTAAAGCTTCTGTTCTTCCCTGAGCAATCTTATTCCACTCTCTCTCCTTCCTTACCCACTCCAGTGTCACACATACAATTCAGGGTGGAGGCTCAGTTTGCATTCAAAGTTATCATTTGTTTTCTGCAGCAGCAGGTCTCCAGCCTTTTTTCTTTTTCCATGCTGATTTTGAGCTCTCGCCACCCTCAGTCCAGCACAGACTGACAGTCTCAGAAAGGCCAAGGGGAAAATAGCAGTGTGCTCTTTCTTGTGTGCAGAGAAAGGTTTCTTGCCTTTAATGCTTCATGTCACAGTCAGGCCACAAGTCTGATACTTTTATCTACTTGGTATGCCTTTATTTCATCTCTCCACATTCTCCTTCTCAAAGAGGGAGAAAAGACTGAAGTGAATCAGTGATAACTACAGCTGTTCCTGCTGGAATAACCATAATGCTATATACCTCCAAGTATTTGACCACTTCTCACTATCAAGCTTCTTCAGCTTAAGACCATAAAATAGGAATTAGCAATTTTGAATTTTTTTAAAATCTTCTATTTGCAATACAGTAATATTGTGGCTGGTTTGTAGATATAGAGGAGTGGTCAAAATATTTAACTGAAAGGTAAACTAAGATGTGCATTTGCATCTTGTTAGTTACTCTGTGGTAGCTGCTTGTGTCCATGCTCTCAGCCTTTTGCTTCTTAAATTCATTATGAAGCAAACTGCCTTGTGCTGACAGGGCTGAGACCATGCAGGTGAGCAGCAGAGATGGGACACTAGGGAATGGAATTACAGTGCAGTGACTGGGTAGCCTAAAAGATGGATAGTGCCCCTCTTGCAGTCCTCAGCTATGGTCTGTAAGGCGGTCCTTCCCTGCCAAGCTGGGATTGAATGTTTCAAGGAATAGAGCTCTGAGCAGTGTTTGTGATAGATTCTCTCCATCCTGATGTGTGCTGGTGTTCACACGCCTTCCTCTTCAACGGAAAAGGTGATTTCTGTCCCTGCTCTGGTAGAGGTGTGTCAGTACTGGCACTGGCATGGCTTAGCCAGTGTTGTTTCGTTGGGTGGGGCAGGGGAAAGGGGAGAGGAGATAGAACTGGGTAATTGGATTCAGGGATGATAGTGCTGCTGTGGTGAGTTCTACTGGATGAAGCAGCTTGTTGGGATAGGTGTTTGTTTCAGCTTCTGTCTGCAGGTGTGACTTGGCTAGATAAGGATGGTCTATCACGTTGATGATTTCATTGTTTGATTTGGCTGGACTGGGTGGAGAATGTAGCTGCATTGTTTGGGGCCAGCTTTGTAGTTTGGTTTTGTGAAGTGGATTACATGGCAGCACATTGCTACATTATTAAGGTGAAGCTGCAGTAGATGATAGTTGGAGAATGTTGGAGGGAAGAGAATATGCACAGGCTTTCACAATGCATAACTAGTTGAGCCTCCAGCTCCTGTGTTTCTGTTAGGAGGTCTGGTCAGCAGAATGCATTGGGATTACACAGAAAAATTTTGGTAGTGATTTCAATATGCAATTGTACTTTTAACTGCAAGGCTGTCCATGCTGTGTAAATAGCTGAGAGTGCTCTGAGACCACACTGGCCTTGACAGTGTGAATGTTACTTGGATTCATTCTGTCTTGCAGCCTCTACAGTTTTCACAGTGGGTGAGGTAGAAGCTGGCAGGTCACTGCTGTTTTTTTTTACTAACCTCAAATTTACCAGTAAGCCAGTCTTCAGAGCCTGTGTTTCCTTTATATTGCTGAAATTTCAAGCACTTAGACTTGCTTTGGATTCTCTTTCTCCTGTAGGGTATGCAATGATGTGAATTAAGAGCTGCCAGAGCAGTAGATAGTGCTTCCTCCTTCTAAAACCTGCCTGGTTTTCCCCTAGATGTGATTGCCTGGCTTTACCTGATACTTGATGTTTCTGTTTATACATTGGCTGGCTGTGGAGGAGGTTGCATATATGAAGCAGAAGAGTTTGGCAGGAGTTGCTGGGCACATTGTGAGGGGAAGGTGAGCCTTTGAAGAGAGATGGGTGCAGAGAAGGGAAGGTGACATGTCCAAGCTTTGTGCCAGCTTCTCTTAAGCACAGATGAGCTCATGGGAATCCATCTGGCTAAACTTGGGAATGCTAAAGCAGGTCTGCCCTATTTCCCCTCCATGGGCAGCATGGATCTTCAGAGTCTTCCAGTCTGATGGTGGCTTCTTGGCTGCTGATAAATCTTTCCAGGCTGAGCAGAGGCTTCCCCTTGGTAGTTCAGAGCAACTTTTAATTCCTCTGCTTCTGTGGTTGAATGCATGGAAGGGGTACACAGCGTGGCTGTGAGTTCTTGTTGGTGAAACTTTTTCTTTCCTTTTTCCAGGTGACTGTTTTTTGTGAGACAAGTGGTTTGCAACTCATGGCCTCCATGATGAGTACTGCAGTGTCGTGACACCAGGGGTCTTGGTAAGCTACTTGTTGGAAAAACAAGGATCCATAATATCTCCATGAGGGCAGATCCATATGTTTTGTCTCTGCAGTTAAAGTTTGAATTAATTTAAAGCCATCTAAATTGTAGGCTGCAAACAAGTGGGATGGGACTACATTTTCACCTGTTCTCACCTCCTCATCTGAGCTTGTAATGATAGTGATGTGGTTACCTGATCAACCAGGTCAAGAGAAAAGTCCAGCTGAATAGAAATTTCTGTTGTTCCTCTTGGATTAGTTCCCATTCAGCTCGTTCCCTGATGTGGTGAGAATGAGTAGCCAGCTGAACCATCCCATTTCTCTATAGTCTTTGCCTGCCATACCCTAAAGCCATCCTAAAAATACAGCCTTGGATGTAGCTTTCCAATGTGTCTTGAAAAGTGGTTTGACCACTCACTGTCACTGACCCTACCTCTAATTTTAAAACAATGATACAGGCTTTGCTATGGCAGGCAGACTCCTGCTGCAAAAATACATTTCTCTAGAGCTTTTCCATTATTGAACCCTAGATTCCCAGGCATATATGTGTTAGAAGTGCATTGAGAAAAATCATGAGACATTCTATTTCACGTTATAGAAGATGGTACATTCCCTGTGTGCAGAAATAAGAAGCTGAGGAAGTTGAGCTGCTGTTGTTCCTCCAATGAATATATTGATGTATCCTTTATAGCTCTCTCTAGTAAGAATAAATTTAAACTGAAATTGGAAAACACAGTTCTCTTGCACAGTGCATCACTTTTAGTATATGGAAGATGTGTATATAGAATAATAAAAAAGTAAGGTTAAAAAATTGTGGCATTCTCCTCCCACCCCTGGGTGAAGTACTTGAAAGCTTGGTGATGTCAGGAATACCATGTAGCCAGTGTGATTGTGATTCTTCATGTTTTCTCATTGCACTGTGCAAGACTGGGACCCTTGAGACAATTCTCACCTTGTAATAAAAGGTAATATAATGTATAAATATCCAAATGGAAAAGCAGAGGATTAAACAACCAGAATACTTAAGTTCATCATGCAAGCATCTACGTTCTGCTGTAAGCATCAAGCTCTGCTCACTGTTATACTGTTACTCCTGTTCTCATCTTTTTTTAAGCTGGAATTCACTGTATTTTCAGTCACACCTGCACCTTAAGTGAGGGTGCAGAAATTTCACAGAGTTCCACTGATTTTTACAGATGTGTCAATCTCTTGGAAAGCAGAGTTGGGTGTTGTTGATAATGTTATATTTTTATTTAACATAACAGACATAGGAGCCAAATTTGTGTGCAAAGGTAATGCAATTTAGATATGTGTGAAGAGGTTCTCTCTCCTCTTTAATGCATCTGTGCAGAAGCAGCTGTAATTGCAACATGATAGTAGAAACAATAGGGATAGGGTAACTCCAACATTGTTCCCAAAATCAGTGAGTTAACCAACTAATAGCCCCAGAGAGGCATGTGTGTCCTCTGGAGTGTGTGGCTCAGACTAGAGTTCATCATTATGCCTGATAAGAGGCCTTTAAAATGAGACATTTTCTGCAGAAACATTCCCCACATTAATAGGTTTGTGCAGCACAGTGGAGGTGAGAATAGGCAGTAGGATGACTTCTCTGGCTTCTGAAGGAGATGTGTGGTAGAGGATAATTTTTTTAGGTGATGCAGAACTTCACATGACTACTGCAGCGTGGGTCATTGTCATATTAGAGTAGCACAAAGTTACTGAAATGTGCAACAGCACCACCTCACAACTGTACAGATCTGGGGAACTGAGAAACCACGGTGCTCTGTACTACAAGTTGCTGATAACTCTACTTGGCCAGAGGTGGTCATAGAGTGCCCATGTTTTTTAATCCTCTGGTGTCACCAGCACATAAGCCAATTTTTTGTTTTGAAATGCAGTTATGCAGTTTGAGTGGGAGTTTCTTCATAAAATTCAAGACACTCCCATCCTAGTAATACTTATTTTGTTTCATTTGGTGTATATATAGGAAGAAAATACTTCTTTGGTGATGAAATGGAATATCGGGAATATTTACATTTGAATAATATTTAGCTAGCAATGCTTAATACATTAACAATAAATCTTGGTTAGATTCTAAATTAAATGGATTTGCATCTGAGTAGGTGAGATGAACAGGAGAGATTTTGTTGAAACATAAACAAGACAGAAATTTGTTCCAAAGTAATTTAGCCCAAAGCACGTAAACAGTAATGTTCAATAGTTTCCACCTCCAGAAACAGCTTTATGTGCCTTATTGCCTGCATCATGCATATTGTTTCTTAGAAAGAAGCTGAAAAACCAGCTGCTTTTCTTGTGCCTTTTTTTTTAAGCCTCAATAATGTGTAGTGTGTTGCTGAGCAAATTTAGATGGGTACTACTCCAGTGCTTTTTTGACCTTTCTAATAGATGTGATGAGGGAATAACCCCTCATGTTTTCAGAGTGATCACACAGAGCAGTAACTCACAGGTGATCAGGAAGGCATTTTATTTTATTTTTCTCCCTTTGTGTAACCCTTAGCACACATCATTGATCTAGGTATATTGGACCAAAGACACAAAAGCTTCAAGCAGAGTTTGTTTTCTTAAGAATCAGATTACGGCCATTCACAGGGGAATTTTGGATAGCTAAGTCATGTTGGGGATTTGTACTTTTAGCTTTGGCTACTGACTGCTCTGAGGTGTCTTTAAGTTGAGCAGGGATGCAGAATCTAAGTGTTAAGATGCAAGGTGCTTCTCTGTTTTGTTGACTACAGAATGACTTGCTTTGGACAAAGGGAAGATGGCCTCACTGCATGTAAACTGAATGGCCAGCCAGGGCTGCCTGGGGTCTGAAATTCACATCTGCCTGAAAGCTCTTCTTCTTCTCTGTCTTCTTGGGAATGGGGGAAGAATTGCCATGCATTGCTTCACACCAGACACATCTGCTTGGGAAGTTCCTCATTGGTTTTCTGTTCTCTCCTTGTGGGGTGGTTTGCAGTGTGCCCTGGAGATGCGAGACTTCCCCTGGGCAGCAGGAGGCACGCATCTAGAGAATGCTGGAGCTGCAGGAGGGAAGTGCCCAGTGCAAAAGCAGCGAGGAGCAAAGAGAAAAAAGGCAAGCAGGCAGCCAGCACTGAGAGAAGCGGGTGGCAGAAAGTGCTTCGACGCTGCCTCTGGCGGCACGCTCCCCAGAGGAACTTGACGAGAGCCCATCTGCGTGTGTGTGAGACTGTGAGCTCAGGATTTCTGTCAATGCATTCCAGTAACCCCAAAGTGAGGAACTCCCCGTCAGGCAACACACAGAGGTAAGGAGAAGAGCCTGCAGTCAGCTGCTGTGGGTTGGTGCACATTGCCATCCCTGCTCTGCTGCTGGATTAGCCCAAGGACAGTGGCAATGTGGTCTCCTGGTCCCTCTGTGCTCCCATCAGGGCTGCTGAGGCTGAGCAGGAGCTGTACAGTGCTGGTGGTCTCCATGTTTGCAAGGCTCAGGATGAACTGAAAGCTGTAGACCCATGAGATATGGATTCTCTGTTCTTTGTGCTCTCCTCCCTTCCACAAGGTGCCTAGATAGGCTGTAGGAGAGTAAACCTGCTGTTTCTATCTTGGGGTTTTTTTCCCTTCCTCCTCTTCTAATTACCTATTTCCTGAGGGGTAGTTGGGCAGCAGAAGGTCTCTCTGTCTGTACTTTCACACAAAATGCTTTCTCTGTATTATTGGCTTGAGCAGTCTGGAGAACTGATCAGCTGAGCACTGAGATCCTCTGTGTCAGTCACCTGCCAGTGCAGCAGGTCAGCATTTCTTCTCCACTAATTTGGAAAGGGAAATTTATGAAAGCAAAGCAGTGTCCAGGGACTTAGGATGTTCTGATTGACAGCATTCTTGAGTTTGATTATTTACTCCTAGAGGTCATCTGGAGCTTAACAGTATTTCAGAGGGAATGTTTCTGAGTCCGATGTCTGTCCAAAGGAACAAACAGCTTGTGTGAGTCCCACAGTGAGGATGCTATTATATATAAGCACTGCCTATTGGAAGTGATAGTGAGGATGGTGAAACACAGTGCAGAAGATTTGATAGCAATGGAGTAATGGAGGGTGAGGAGGGAAGGGGCGCCTAATATTTGTAGAACCCAGAGGAGCAAAATACTTCCAGGATGCTGTTTGCTGGATGGAAGAGGAATGAAAGACTGAGTCTCCTTTGGCAAATTGAGGAGGAGTCATCTGCCCCATTTTGCAGGAGTGTTCTTGGAGATGGTATCCTTCTCTTTCCTTATTCAGGGACAGGTTGTAGCTGGTTTAATTGTTTTCACGGTCAGAGGTTTGTGTTTCTCTGGCAGCTCGCCCCAGTGGATGACAAATGCTGCAGTAATGCTGGGTTTTCCTTGTGCTCCCTGTAGAACTGGATAGGGAGGTGCCAGGGAGGGGGTGTGGGGGGGTCTGCTCTGATCAGAACTGCAGCGTAGTTGGGGTCCAGGAGAATGGTGAGGGGAACTTTACTGTGCCTTGTTTGTTTACTCTGAGCTAGTCTTGGTGTGAGGTGCTTCTCTGTGCACATAGAAACCGTTGTCTTTATTGACAGAGGCGCCAGAGGTGGGTCCTCATGTGACAGTAGTTTCTGGGATCTGGCAGGTCTGTGGTTTGCCCTGGTGCCTTCTTGAGCAATGAGATCCCATCTTGGATAATAACCCTTTCAGGGCATGTTCAAAAAAGCACCTGCATGACTCTAAGCTTGCAGGCATTTTTTATTTGTCAGCAATTGTCTTAGCTTGTAAAGGTGACAGTGGTTGTTTCTGCTTCACTGTAATCTGTTCCTACAGGGCTGAATGAATCAATGGTGTGATTTGTCACTTTTTCCTTTTCTGTCTTTTTTTTTCTCTCTCCCCAGTAGCCCCAAATCAAAGCAGGAGGTGATGGTCCGTCCCCCTACAGTGATGTCCCCGTCTGGCAACCCTCAGCTGGATTCCAAATTTTCCAACCAAGGCAAACAAGGGGGCTCTACCAGCCAATCCCAGCCCTCTCCCTGTGATCCCAAAAGTGGAGGTCACACCCCCAAAGTGCTCCCGGGCCCGGGTGGGAGTATGGGGCTGAAGAATGGGGCTGGAAATGGTGCCAAGGGGAAGGGGAAGAGAGAGAGGAGCATTTCAGCAGACTCCTTTGAACAGAGGGAAGCTGGGACTCCTAATGACGACCCAGAAATCAAAGGTATGTTTGCTAGGGTTCATGTGCAAGTGCAGACAATCAGTCTGAATCCTCTGTGAGATGGAGAATTGCTCTGCAAGTATGAGTGAAACATTTGTTTGTGTGGGGTTCTACAAGTTCCAGCCAATGAAGTCTAAAGGTCTTGAAAGCAGGCGAAGAGGAGAGGTTGTCATAGCTGGCATTGGTAAATGTCTTGTTCACGCTCGGTTAGAGCCCAGACCTGACTCTGGTGGGAAAGTTCCTTTGTAACTTTTAAACTCCCCCAGAGGATTTAAAAGTACAAATGCAACCTGTTGGTCTCCTTCTGGCCTTTGGCCTTTCAGGAACTGTTCTGTTGTAACTGGGGTTTTAACAATATTCAGGTCTGTTTTGTCAACACAGATACATAACCCCCATAGCACCCTAACTGGTAACTCAAGCCAGGGAGTTAGTTGGGATTTATGTGTTCTCTTCTTTACTCCAACATTGCCTCTGTGAGGCAATGCAAAACCAGACCACGTGTTCAATTGTCCATCTTTATTGTCCATTTGTGAGGTCACCTAGCTAAGGTGGCTGAGCAGAAGAAAAAGTAAAATTTTGCAGGCATGTTTTCTTGAGGCAGACATATTTGACATATTTGTTCCTACATAAAGTGTTGTTTTCCTGCTTTTTTATGTGGTCATTAGAGAATTCAAAGAGACCAGTTGTGGGAATTGCCACTTTCCTTGGAATGGGACACAAGAGGAACTTTCTTCCAGTGTTACTTGAAGGACACCAAGGCTTTAGAGGAAAGATGTATGATGTAATAGAAGAATTGCCTTTAGTAGTGCTTGAGGAAGAAGCCGGAAATTTCAGAGAAAAAAAAGCTCTGATCAGTTTCCAGAATTGATTTCCAAAGAGATCCCAAGATAGTGATTCCCTTCTTTACCCCTTTGTCCCTTTCCAGACTGCAATTCTGCTGATCATGTGAAGTCCCAGGAGTCTCAGCACACACCACACTCCATGACTCCTTCAAATGCTTCAGCCCCAAGGTCTTCCACACCTTCCCATGGTCTGACTGCCACTTTGGAGCCAGCAAGTGGGCAGAAAACTCCATCCAAAGTGGTTTACGTCTTTTCTACTGAGATGGCCAACAAGTAAGTAGGTAGCTGCTTGAATGTCTTCTGGGAGCAGGAATTACATTTGTGCTCATCTTTTAAGAGATTATTAAAGGCACTTTCTTGCATCAAGTAGCAAAAAGTCATTGCTTGTTTTGGGGATGCTGAAGAGGGAGTGGACCACGTCCCTACCTTTTTGCTCTGGGAAATAATAGTTTACTTCTCTGAGGTGTGGGTTTTTTTTTTTTTGCAAATGCTGGTGGATATTGTTTTGCAATCCATGCAGTGAATAGCAGCCAGGATGGCTTAAACTGAGACATGAACCCTGAATGCTGATGAGTTTGTGGACGTAAGCATTTTTATTTTGCTACTCATCTAGAGTGAAATATGCATGGCTGAGTCTTTCTCTCTTTTGCCAGCTGAAAGATAGAAAGGAGACCAGTTAAGAAAAATTGATTCTTAGCTTCGACTGGATATGTGCATCTATCTGTCTGTCTTTGCAGGGCTGCAGAAGCTGTGCTGAAGGGACAGGTGGAAACCATTGTGTCCTTTCATATCCAGAACATCTCAAACAGCAAGGCGGAACGGAACACTGTACCCTTGGTAGGGAATACCTGCATGGGGGTGAGAAGGGGAAATGGTAAATGTGCCTCTGTGTGGTTCAGAGAGTTGGATGATTATTTACACTCTGAAATAAGTTTTAGGACAACAGTTGTCATTCTGACTGTCTGCAAATAAATGTCTTGGGTTATCCAAAGAAAAGTTAGTCTTGCAATATTTGGGTAGTGTATTTCCAACTTGTAGGTAATGTAGAGCTAGCACAGACAAAAGGGGTCCCTGCAGTAATGCCTTGAGCAAAGTAGGTTTTTGCATTGCCAAGAGGCTGCTGTGTAATTGCTGCATGAAGGCTACCCTATCCTGCAAATTTTGGGCTGATGGGATTGAGATTGGGTGTTTTGTTTGCACTGCTGCTTATGTGACATGCCTGTAAGAAGAGCAAGTGACTGAGTGTGGCTTTCTCTTGCAGAATCCTCAGATCACTGCACTTCGGACTGAACCCAAGCCCCTGCCACAGCCCCAGCCCCCTGCTGCCCAGGACCAGAACCCTCCCCAGAACACCAAAATGCAGCCGACTCCACCCGTGTCAGCGCCAGTATCCAAACCCACTGGCCCCCCTTGTCCCATAGATCAGGACAGTCCCAGTGTGGAAAGCAAAGTGATGTCTGTGGGCAGCCCTGCCAACTCTACCCCGTTGCAGACAGAAGGATTTGGGCAGAGTTCAACACCCAATAATCGAGCAGTTAGCCCAGTTTCCCAAGGTAGCAATAGCTCTGCTGCAGACCCCAAAGGTCCTCCCCAGCAGGGGTCTGGTGGGGACCCATCCAGTTTGGGTGAGAATCCTGATGGACTGTCACAGGAGCAGCTGGAGCACCGAGAGCGCTCGTTGCAGACCCTGAGAGACATCCAGCGTATGCTCTTCCCTGATGAGAAGGAGTTTGCAGGAGGACAAAGTGGAGGGCCACCCCCAAATGCTGGGGTGCTGGATGGTCCCCAAAAGAAACCTGAAGGGCCGATACAGGCTATGATGGCTCAATCCCAAAGTTTAGGCAAAGGGTCGGGGTCTCGGACAGATGGAGGGGCTCCGTTTGGCCCTCAAGGACACAGGGACATGCCTTTTTCCCCAGATGAAATGGGGCCACCACCAATGAACTCCCAGTCAGGAGCCATAGGCCCAGACCACCTGGACCATATGACTCCTGAGCAGGTGGCCTGGCTCAAGCTGCAGCAGGAGTTTTACGAGGAGAAGAGAAGGAAGCAAGAGCAGGTGGTTGTGCAGCAGTGTTCCCTGCAGGATATGATGGTCCACCAGCATGGGCCTCGTGGGGTGGTCCGAGGTCCTCCCCCTCCCTACCAGATGACCCCTGGTGAGGGCTGGGGACCTGGAGGTCCAGAGCCCTTCCCTGAAGGCATGAACATGTCACACTCGCTGCCCCCCAGGGGCATGGCCCCTCATCCCAATGTGCCTGGAAGCCAGATGCGCCTGCCTGGTTTTGCAGGAATGATGAACCCTGACATGGAAGGCCCTAATGTCCCAAATCCCACCTCACGGCCTGGGCTTTCAGGAGTTAATTGGCCAGATGATGTGCCAAAAATCCCAGATGGGCGAAACTTCCCTCCTGGTCAGGGTGTCTTCAGTGGCCCTGGCCGAGGGGAGCGGTTCCCAAATCCACAGGGCCTGCCTGAAGAGCTCTATCAGCAGCAGCTGGCTGAGAAACAGATGGGCCTCCCTCCTGGTCTGAACATGGAAGGCATCAGGCCTGGCATGGAGATCAACAGAATGATGCCCTCCCAGAGACACATGGAGCCTGGGAACAACCCCATCTTCCCTCGCATGCCGGTAGAAGGACCGATGAGCCCCTCTAGGGGGGACTTCCCAAAAGGAATACCCCCACAAATGGCTTCTAGCAGGGAGCTGGAGTTTGGAATGGGCCCTGGCAGCATGAAGGGGGACATGGGCATGAATGTCAGCATGGGCTCCAACCCACCCCTGGTCCCTCAGAAGCTGAGGGAGGCAGGAGTCGGGCCGGAAGAGATGATAAAGCTGCGTCCCGGTGTCTCGGAGATGCTCTCCTCTCAGCAGAAAATGGTGCCGCTGCCGTTTGGGGAGCACCCGCAGCAGGAGTATGGCATGGGTCCCAGGCCTTTCCTTCCCATGTCTCAGGGCCCAGGAGTCGGTCTCCGGAATCTCAGAGAACAGATCGGGCCTGACCAAAGGACTAACAACCGGCTCAGCCACATGCCGCCACTACCTCTCAATCCCACCAGTAACCCTAATAGCCTCAACACTGCTCCCCCTGCGCAGCGCAGCCTCGGCCGCAAGCCCTTGGATATCTCTGCAGCCGGTCAGGTGCATTCGCCAGGGATCAACCCCCTGAAGTCCCCCACCATGCGCCAGGTCCAGTCTCCCATGATGGGGTCTCCCTCGGGGAACCTCAAGTCCCCTCAGACGCCCTCCCAGCTGGCAGGAATGCTCGCGGGCCCCACTGCCGCAGCTGCTGCTGCCTCCATTAAATCCCCCCCTGTCTTGGGGTCTGCTGCTGCTTCTCCTGTCCACCTCAAGTCTCCGTCTCTCCCTGCACCTTCTCCTGGATGGACTTCATCTCCAAAGCCTCCTTTGCAGAGCCCTGGGATTCCCCCGAACCACAAGGCGTCTCTAACCATGTCTTCTCCAGCCATGCTGGGGAACGTGGAGTCGGGTGAGTGCTGCCTCTGCTCCCCAGATCTGGTGCTTTGGTTCGTGTTGGGTCATCAAAGATGCGCAGCAAAGGGAGGGAGGAGGGTTCCTGCAGCAGGGCAAGAGCTGGGTGGCCCTTTGCCTACTTGAGTGGGGCTGTGCCAAGGCCGTGCAAGTGGAGGGTGAGGGCTTCTCCGCCTCCTGTTGTATTTGTGGGTTTGCACCCTGCCTCCCACGTGTTGAACTGAGGGCTGGTCACTCTGAGGATGTAAAAGCAAAAGGATGGGGTTAAGAGATGTGAAAAGGTGTGGAGCATTGATGGGAGAAGTCTCTCCTTGGAAGGGTCTTGTGCTGTTCTTCCATGGCTCATAGTCATTGTAGCTCAACGGAAAAGATCTGTTGATGTTATTAGAGTGCTTTGATATAAAAGGTTCCTACAAAGACATGCTAAACAGTTGACCAGCTGTGTATCTAGGCACAGGTCAGGTTTACAATTAGGTATGTCTGCGTTTACCTTTCTAGGTTTACATTGCAGACAGGAAGTTGTTCAGGCTTTAAGCATTTTGGAGCAATCTAATAACCACTGTACATAACATTTGGTTGCGTGCTGAGCCGTGCTGTGCCTGGGACCTCGGGGTCCTGCTGCTGGCTCACTTCTGCTCTCAGCTTCTCGAAGCTCACCTGCCCTTCAGTCCAGGCTTCCACAGCTCTGGGCAGCCTTCCCGCCCGGGAAATTTTCCTGGCTGGGAAAGTGGAGCCCTTTGCCCACGTTGCCCTCTAGTGCTGCCGTGGGTAACAGCGGGGACCAGAACCGGGATGTGCCTGTGGGGTCGGCGGCTCGGGAGGGCACCCAAGTGCTTCAGTCTGTGCCTTACTTAGTGCTTAATGAATGCTTTGACATGCAGCTCTTCCAAAGCATGGATCTTTCAGCATTGCAGTTTTTTTATATTCCCTATTCTCATTTCCTCTTTTGGTTGGGAGGGGCTGAGGAACGTGCAGTGAATTTTCAGTGAGAGTAGAGCTTCAGTTTAGCATCTGCACATTGGTCTGGGTGGTGTAAAATTCATCAGTGAAGAACAAAGAAGATTGGAAGTGCAGTTAAGTTACTTCTAATTTTGTGAGAGCAAAGGATGACATTAAGCTAATAGGTGCAGAGAATGTTTCTTTTCCTGGAATAAGCAGCTAATATCTCTGTATGAAACAAGAAATGCAACATAAACAGGGAGTTTTACTTGTAGCTCCTGATGAAGCTTGTCAGAAATGTGCTTGCATGTCTCAGCATAATATCTGCTACAGTTTTCCTTGTGCTGCCTGTGTCTTTTTTGATTTTAGATTTTGATTTTTATGGCTAGCTCTGTTAAGTAAGTCTGTCTTCAGTGTATGGACATTGAATAGTAAGATTTTCAGACTAAACTGGTAATTCTTCATGTGGATTTGTGGAGGTTCAAGATAGTTCTAGTTAGAAGTGCTATGCAGTAGGATAACAGATATTAATCAACTTGACCAATAGGTTTATTTTTCTGGTTATTTTCATGGCCATTGACTACATTAGTCATGTAAAGTCTTGCAATAGAAAACATTTCTAGTTTTTGAGACTTCTAGGGGAAAAGAGTTTGATGTAAGGAAAAGAGTAAGGAGGAAAAAATTAAATTCTTTCTCTCTTTTTCTTTTTTTTTCCTAAGGCGGTCCACCTCCTTCCACAGTCAGCCAGTCTGCTCCTGCGACTCTTCCTGGAAATCTTCCCTCTAGCAGTCCTTACACAATGCCTCCAGAGCCAACCCTCTCCCAGAATCCCCTGTCCATTATGATGTCCAGGATGTCCAAATTTGCCATGCCCAGCTCTACACCGCTCTATCATGATGCCATCAAAACTGTGGCCAGCTCGGATGACGACTCCCCTCCAGCACGCTCCCCAAACCTGCCACCTATGAACAGCGTACCAGGTAAGCAAATCAAAGGACCATAAGCACAAGGTATCAGGGTGATTTTATGGAAATCTTGTGAAATGAAGACAGTGAGATGGGAAAAAACTTGAGGAATGTTTAGCCATCGGTTTTTTTTTTGAGAAAGAAGTTGCCATTCTCTGAAATGTAGAGATGGAACTTCTCCTTGCAACTTTTTTTTTCTGTCCAGAAAATGTGTGTTCTTCAGAAGGTATCTAACATGGAAAACACTTGTGTATGGAGGGATTGAATGAAGGCTGCTCATGGGTTCATGCGTGGATGAAGGCTGCTCATTAAGGGTCAGACCTACAATGTGTTATCTAGGGGAAGCTTTGCCTCTCGTGTCTTAAGGCAGTTCCATAGAAGCTTCACTGTTTTTGGGGGGGTTTGTTTGGGTCTTTTTGACACTGAATTATCAAAAATATGTGAATAGGCTCTAACACCCCCACCCTATTGAATTAATAGTTGAAAAAGGGGATGAGCTGAAGTTTCAAGAGAATGGCAGTTGGTAATGAATTTTTGATGTGTTTACCTGTAGCTTTGCAGTGTGTTTCATACAGTAATGGCTGAATATATCTGGGGAAAGCTGGCTAATTGAATAAATTCATGATAGTAACTCATTAACCTCATTGATCACTGCCCCTTAGTCTTATGAGGGTTACCTGATTTATCACTGCTGAGGTTTGAAAGGAGTTCCGGTCGCTTCCCAGTGGACAAGTGCCCATATGCTGATAATCTGTCATAGACATGTTTGCTACTGCCTGTGTCATCCAGACTGCCAGGGAGGTAGTAAAAGTATAGTTTGGATTGAAATCCTACTTACGGAGCAGGCTTTAGTCACTGCTTGACAGGGCAGTGACAAGCTTTGGACAGTGGCTGTTGGAGTGACATCAAATTCCTGGTTAACATAACATTTTTCAAAGCCACTGCTGATGGTTTTTTTACTAGCACAGTTTTTCTGTGTGTGTGCGAACTTGGTAACCTTGCAGAAAGCTCTCTGACAGCTTTATTGATTGTTACTGGTTGTTGTCTAAATGCAATTCCTTGTTTCTTCCCTAGGAATGGGCATTAATTCTCAGAATCCTCGAATTTCAGGTCCAAACCCAGTGGGTCCAATGCCAACCCTTAGCCCAATGGGAATGACCCAGCCTCTTTCCCATAACAACCAGATGCCCTCTCCAAATGCTATGGGACCCAATATACCTCCTCACGGGGTCCCCGTGGGACCCGGCCTGATGTCACACAACCCAATGATGGGGCATGGCTCCCAGGAGTCTCCAATGGTACCTCAAGGACGCCTGGGCTTCCCGCAGGGGTTCCCTCCCGTACAGTCCCCTCCACAGCAGGTGCCATTTCCACACAACGGGCCCAGCGGTGGACAAGGCAACTTCCCAGCGGGAATGGGCTTCCATGGGGAAGGACCTCTGGGGCGTCCTACCAACCTGCCCCAAAGTTCGACAGATCCAGCACTTTGCAAGACTGGAGGCCCTGGAGGTCCAGACTCCTTCACTGTTCTTGGAAACAACATGCCTTCGGTTTTCACTGATCCAGAGCTGCAGGAGGTGATCCGTCCTGGAGCCACGGGAATACCTGAGTTTGACCTGTCAAGGATTATTCCATCGGAGAAGCCCAGCCAGACACTACAGTATTTCCCTCGTGGGGAGGTGCCAGGCCGCAAGCAGCCGCAGGGCCCCGGGCCTGGCTTCTCCCACATGCAGGGGATGATAGGAGAGCAGACCCCGAGGATGGGACTAACATTGCCCGGCATGGGGGGCCCCGGGCCGGTGGGAACTCCGGATATCCCTCTTGGCACGGCTCCGTCCATGCCCGGTCACAACCCGATGAGGCCGCCGGCCTTCCTGCAGCAGGGCATGATGGGGCCGCACCACCGCATGATGTCACCAGCACAGCCCGCCATGCCCGGCCAGCCCGCGCTCATGAGCAACCCCGTGGCCGCCGTGGGCATGATCCCGGGCAAGGACCGAGCCCCCGCCGGGCTGTACAGCCACCCGGGCCCTGTGGGGTCACCTGGCATGATGATGTCAATGCAGGGCATGATGGGACCCCAACAAAACATCATGATTCCCCCCCAGATGAGGCCCCGAGGTATGGCTGCTGATGTTGGCATGGGAGGATTTAGCCAAGGCCCTGGAAACCCAGGGAACATGATGTTTTAAGCTGCTACCATAAGACTGGATGTTCTGATCCTTGTCAAGATGAGATTCCAAGTCCTGAGGGCTTTTTTGGGAGCTTCAGGAGTACAGTTTGGCCATGCAATAGGTGAAAAGAGACCAGAGGATGCTTTGGGAAATCTCGAATGTATGGAATTACCTGAAAAAAAAAATATTCATTTTAACAGGTTGTTTTTTTTTTAAGATTTATTTTTTAAAAATTATTTTTGTGGACTTGGGTATCCCGTGACGGCACCTGCTTTGAGAATCTGTAGCTGTATTTTGAGAATTGCCATTTGTCACAAGTTGCACCATTCTCTCTGTATGTTTACGTCCTTCGGACTGGCTTCTCCCAGGACTCTTGGTTATTTTTGGGGTTTTTTGTGTACTGTACTATATTGTAAAAGGGATTTTAGCAGAGACTTTAGTCTTTGGGGTGAGAGGAGAATGGGATTCTAGGCTGTTTACTTTAGGTGGAGAATCCATCTTCAGAACTTCGGACTATTTTCCTTCAACTCCAATGTATAGAAAAACCAAACTACGACCTCAGAGCAGAGTATTAATGAAAAGCACAAAAAAGGAACTTAAGTTCAGTGAGGGGAATCTTTTAAAAGAAATAAATAATAAGTTAAGGACATATTTTTCAAATTATGGCGTGCTGTCCAGCACCTTCTGTCTCTCCCTCCCACTCTTTATTAAATAGGCTTCTCTCTCTCTCCGTCCCCTTCTGTCTCCTCCTATGGCAGCTGCAATACATTGTGTTATTTTGGGGAGTAAATCTAGGAGAGCCTCTCCTCACGTGGGGACTCTTCCCACTTTTAGGAAGGGGCTGGACTTGGACACTGTTACATCCTACAGTAGTCTCTCTCACTGTTTCCTATTCTCCTTTTCTTAGAAACCCCAAGTGATTTTATTAATGTGGGAGTGGAACAGACACTAAAAGTTATCCAGGATTTTTTTTTGTGGTTATTTTTTTTTTCCTCCCCAGCGTAAAACGTTCTGTGTAACCTCCATTGAATTTGGTACAAAACCACTTGCCAGGGCTGTGGTGTCAGAAAAATAAAATATATTGTTTCTTACAAAAATGAACTGTCTCCTTTATCCAGACCAGTTGTTTCTGTGTAGATCAAACAGCTGGTCAGATGACTGTTTGCTCTTCCTTGTGATCACAGCCAGCCTAGAGACCAGGTGGGCTAAACTTTGACAGCTCCTAAAAGTCTGGTCAATAGGCAGCTGTGTGCTCCTTTTGTAGCAATTCTGTTAACTTAATCCTGAACTGAGCTTGTTTTCCCTTGGAGGGAGGTCTTATTTCAGAACACCCCAGGAACTATACTTAGAGACTTCCTCAATTTGTTGAGGGTCAAGGAGCAGATGAAACTTGTCTCCGTCACTTCCTCCTGGAGAGTGTTTGCAGCACTGCAAGGTACATGGGTTTGAGCTCCCCCTGAGCAGCAGTGTCAGTCTGCAGAGATGCTGGGATTGTGTCCCTCTCTGGGGACCCTGGATTGGGTCATTGCTGGCTCTGACTGCCAGCACTGAGAGCCTGAAATGGTGGGGAACGGATGAACTGTAATAACAAAGGTGAGACAGAAATTGTCAGTGAGCAGATTTTTATCAAGACAGCCCTGCTGAGTAAATTGTTGCTTTGCCACAGTTCTCATCGATTGCTTCCTAATCCCCTGTCTTTTCAAACTTGCCTTTTGAGAGGATTTCAGCAAGGAGGTTTTATAGTCCTGCCTATGAGGAGTGAAAGGCTGGATGACAAAACGTGGATTGAGAGTTGAGCCCTGCTCCTGGAGAATACGAGCATGAGCCAGATATGGATCTGTAGGCCAGGATGCAGGCTCTGTGGCTGGCTGTTCTCTGGTCCCCCAGCACTGTATATGGAGTGGGTAATCTGTTCTTCCTTCCACTTACTGCTACTTAAAATGATTTCAATGAGTAGTTTCTTCAGAGGGCTGGCTATTAGTGTGAAAATTCATGTGGAGAATAAGTATTTTTAACATGCTTGAGTGTGAGAGTTTTTTAGAGTTAACTGATCCTTAACAGGTGGAAAAAGAATTCCTCTTGGTGGCTGATTTAGTAAACTTTTGTTGCTGGTGTTATAAAACGAGTGAAGCCATACACTGTTGGAGGCACGCAAGCCTCAGAGCCTTCTGTTGTCTGCTTCCAAATTCACCTTTGTGCTGTCATGCAAATTTACAATGATTTTGGGTGAGAATTACTCTTTTGACAAAGTGTAGGATGTCTGTTGTGGTGCTTCCCTCTGACAAGACAGGCAGCGTGAAGCACGGGCTTGTCAAGATTTTGGAAAGAGATGACAATGACACAGTAAGTGTTATTTCTGTAGAGCGGAATTACCTCTTCTTTAAGTGGTTGCACAGCTCCCATTTGAGGACCTTGCATGGGAATTGTTACAATGCAACCTTTTTAAGTGTTGCTACTTCTGCCATCACTCCTGACTGTTTTTAGCATGTTGAACAAAGCGAAGTTCTTGATCGACATAGAAATGAGCCGGAGGTTTTGGGATTTTTTTAAACTGTCATAGGGCCTCCTATGCCTCTTAAGATTTTGAAAAGCAAAGGATTTGAGGTAGCTGTGACTTATTCTAGGAAAATTAGCATAGGAAATTCACTGTTTCAAAGCCACTGAACAGTGAGAGGATACATTTTAAACATGCTGTATAATTAAAGTTCCTTCTGTGTCTGTCTAATTTATGATGCTGGCATTTGGTATCTTAATGAGATTTTTCCTACCGAAAGCGCAGAAGATGTGGATTCTCCTGAGTCCACATAGGTGCGCTTAACCTCAGTGTTTGCACCAGCAGATGGACAAGAGTTGCTAAGGTCTTAGCTGGCTCCAGTTGTGAAAATTACTCTGTAGATGTTCATAGATGAACTTCTTTGTTTTGCTCTATTTCTACTTCTTCCCTTTTTGCATTGGAAATGGAAAAGCTTTCTAGCTGTCAGCCTTGTGGATTCACCTGAGGATCTGTAAGCCAGGCTCTGTTCCTTCCTGCTTATCAATAGTAACTGTGACTCAGCTTTGGTAGTCATGGTACAGTTGAAGATGGAAAGTGGGTTGCCATTTTTAGTTTTCTTCCTCCCCCACCCCCTGCACCCTTTTTTTTTTTTAAGCTTTCAAATCATCCTCCTCCACCTTTGTTTGAAAGAATGAAATAGACTTTATTCATACATGCTTGGCTGCTCTTCCTCTCTAGTAACATGGGAGGAAACAGTCTGCTGTTCAAATTATCTCATCCCAGATGGCTGCACAGCCGGAGTGTGGAGAGACTTAAAAGGTAAACCCAGCAGATGGTGAACTTCTGAAACGCGAAGTAATGTGCCTGCTAAATCAAAAGTTTAAAATATTTGAAATCTGTTTGTTTTAAATTAGTAGACTTGCACTCAGGTCATCTGTGAAGTACACTGGCAGTTTTACACACCGTCCAAATAAACTCGAGATTTGTACCTGTATCATGAGCTAGCTAATCTGCCAAAGAAGATGAGAGCAAGGAGCCAGCCTTAGGAGTTTAGTTCTGACATCCATGAGGCGTCTAATGGGTCACATTTCGGAAGACAAACCAGTGTGTGGAGATCTGATCTGGATCAGTCTTGGTTGGGATTTGAATGCTGGCAGTGCTTCTGGTACAATACATGTGTTCTGGATCAGAGCAGATGTGGGTGCCCAAATCTTTCTGAGGGTAAGTTGAAATGCCTTATATTTTTGTTCCCCCAGAGTTTTGGGACAATTACAGATATACGCAGGGCTTAATTTTGAGGTGCTTTGTGTGCTCTCTGCTATGCTGGTTTTCACTCAGGTGGCAGGACAGGCTACATTTTTTTGGTGGTGTCATTTTGCACTCATGATGGTGAATGCTTTCCTTGTGCCGGCTGCACCAGGCTGCTGGCTAAAACCTGTTCCCTAATGTGACACTTCTTGAGGAAAAGTGATCCATGTTTGATATAGGCTTGTATTTACTAAAATGTGCTTCACTTTGTCAGCGGGTAGTAATTCTTAACCTAAAAATAGTTAATGATGCAGGAAAAAAAGCTATGCTGTTTTGTTTGGGATACTGGGAAATTTTTGATTTCTGAGAATTTTTATTCCACATTCTCAGGAATGCCTCAGCTCTTCCATGCTGTGTTTGCAATAAAGTAGCTCCCACTTACCTTGTCTTTTGACATTTAAACTGCTCCACTGTCCAACCAATCCTCTTCTGAAATGATCATTTACACTAGTTGTGGTCAGAAATAACTCCTCCTTCATCCTCTGTGCTACAACTACCATGGAAGCGCTCAATGACATGGACCATTGCATGGCCCAACCGCTTTGACAGTGAGGAGAAGGGTAAGGGTAGAACAGGGCAGAGAGGGCACTGCAGAAACCCTGCAAGACAGTGCTCCCATGCTCCCAGTGGTGTCTTCCTCCAAGGCACTGCCAAGAAACTGGCCTGCTTTTCTGATGTCTTCTGCTGTTACTGAAATTTGTGTTACCCTTCCTAGAGTGACAGCAGGATCTTAATTGTGTAAAAGCAGTACCCTTTAGAAATCTTACCTGCTCTTGAATAACTTGTGCTGCTGAGTGCTCTGGGTTATGGCTGTGTTGCAGTTTTTTTACCTGGCTGCAGGTCAACTTTGTTGGGGATGCTCCTAGTTATTAAAGAGTAGGTATGTGAATTCCCCTTTTGTATGTCCAAAGTTCCTGATGCGTTTTTCCAAGCAGTCCATGCCTCACAAATAACTTGTAATCATAGACCTAATAGTTTCATCACTGTTCCCCAAATACTTAAAACTGTGTATAAGAGAGAGCTTGATTAGAGCAGAACACACTGTTCTTAAGGAGGTGTAGGCATTGATTTTTATATGGTGGCATTATGGTTTCAGGCTGTACAAAAATTTGATGGAAAATAACAATGTTTTGTTTGCTTTTTTGACAGCTTCTAATAGTAGTTCAGTGAGACCTCCAGCAATGTATTTAGTAGTTTAATTATTCTGTTCACTGTGTGTGGTGTCAACATGTAATTGTGGTGGGGGCAGGCTAATGAAAGAGTAGGGGTAAATCCAGCCTATTCTTCTTAGAGAAAAGGTGCTGCAGTGCCTCCATCACATATTTGTTAATTGCTTACATTAAATTATTTTTTCACTAAGTAAGAAGTAAGACAGAACCTAAATTGCAGGGTCATTTTAATAAATGGTCCCCGTATTTTAACCTCTGCCCATCCCAAAGGAAGTAGGGACCATGTTTTATTTACTTATTGAAAAGTGGAGATCTTTTTCAATGAAATAGTCTGTGAGATTGAATGCACCCTCAACAGTTTGCAGAGGACACAAAGTCAAGTGGTGCCATTGACACAAGAGAAGGACTTGGACAAAGTTGAGAAGTGAGTTTGTGAGAACCTAGTGAGGTTCAGCAAGTCCCAGTACATGGTGCTGCACCTGCGTCAGGGCAATCCCAGACATGAAACCTAGTCTAGAAGAACTCATTGAAAACAGCCCTTTGGAGAAGCACTTGGAAACTGTGGTGGATGAAAAGCTGGACATGAGCCAGCATTGTGTGCTTGCAGCCCAAAAAGCCAACCATGTTCTGGGCTTCACCCAAAGCCCTGTGGGCAGCAGGTCAAGGAAGGCATTCTGCCCCCCTGCTCTGCTCTGGTGAGACCCCACTGCAGTGCTGCATCCAGCTCTGGGGCATCCAGCACAAGAAACATGGACCTGTACAAATCAGTTCAGAGGAGGACACAAAGATTATCAGAGGACTGGAAAACTTCTGTTATGAAAACAAGCTGAGAGAGTTGGGGCTGCAAAGCCTGGAAAAGAAAAGGCTCCAGACTTTAGAGCAGCCTTCCATTGCCTAATGGGGGGCTTATAAGAAGGAGGAAGAGTGACTTTTTACATGGGAAGACAGGGATAGGACAAGGGAGAACAGTTTAAACTGAAGTGGAGAGATTTAGGTTAAATTCTTTACTGTGAGAGTGGTGAGGCACTGGCACAGATTGCTCAGAGAAGCTGTGGATGTCCCATCCCTGAAAGTGTTTAAGGCCAGGTAGGATGAAGCCTTGAGCTGCTCAAGTGGATGGCATCCCTGCCCATGGCAGGGGGTTGGAACGATATGATCTTTAAGGTTCCTTCCAACCCAAACCATTCTGTGATTCTGTGACTTTGGCAACACTGTGATTCCTAGTAATTTCTTATGGGAAAAGCTGTCATCTCAGCCAGAAGTACTGCTGTTCGCTAGTGCTGTATTCCTCTTTCAGCAAGGGCAAAATAGATCACTGCCTCCCAAAGCTGAAGTCAATAGCAGCTCCCCAGACTTCCTTGTTTAAAGCACATTAAGCAGAGTTCACCAAGATTACGTGTTCTTGTACTTGGCCCACTCTGGTTGTTCTGCATGTTAATGCAGAATTTCCATTATTAGAGGAATGCAGGGAAGAGGTTTGGAGGCTTTCTGTCCCTTTGGAGATGTTTTCTGTGCATGAAAATGCCCTCAAGAAGATGGGGTAGCTAAATGCTATGCAATTAGGGAGGCTCATCTGTCTTTAGCGAGCTACCCTCCAACATGCCAAAAGAAAGGGAAAGGCACAAGGGCTTCTGCAGATACCAAACAAAAAATCAATATTATGTCAAAGCTTTCAAGTTTTGAAAGCACAAGCTAGCACGAGCTGGGCTTCAGCCCGTAGTCCCAGCATATGAGGAAGAGGTATGTTTTGTCACATATTGTTGATACAGAGAGGCAATTTTAAATGGTCTGTTCTCGCCCTTGCTGTTTTCAGCCTCTCCCTGCTTTTGTGTGGTCACCTCAGAAGTAAACTTGAGCCATTCTATCACGTGGCTTCTTTCAGCTTGCTGCTAACAGTGTAAAGTGACACTGTGCCACCCTGTGTCTGGTAGGAAAATGTCCCCTCATCTAAAATGCATTTGGAATACAGAAGGCTAGCAAGGACATAAAGAAAAATAGTCGAAGATTGTGACAATGAACTAATTTTAATTTGAGTTAGTTTGCCAATTCCTGTCCACTTTGGAGCATAGGTTATTGTACTCCTCTGGAGTGACTGAGTACTGTGAAAGAACTTCCAGAAATTCTTCAAGTGGGCAGAGACCTGCTTTACAGCCTTTCACCACTTGCTCCTGCAAGGCAAAGAGACAGAATCACAGATACTGTGCACTGTCAAAGCCCTTTTGTGCTGCATGGTGGAACCACAAGCCCAAGATTCATAGGAGGGACTTCCCAGGGGATCTCACCTCTCCACGGTAAGCCACGCGCACAAACCACTCCTTGGAGTGCTGGTGCTGGTACAGCTCGAGGGTCACATCAGCAGCATAAGGTGGCCACTTGTTATCAAAGGTGCCCAGTGCCAGCAGGAGAGGAATAAGAGTGGAATCATGAGCTGCATAGAGGAAGAGCTTTCTGCAAAAAATAGAAGGAAAAAGAAAAAAACAGACCTGGAATGTCAGCTGTGTTCCTCCATGGATAGGCAGTAGCATTCATGCTTTTTCCAGCAGGTGAGCACTCCTTTTTATCCCACACATTCAATGTCTTTCTGAACCTGTTTTTCACAGTGCCATCAGGTTAAAATTTATAATGATTAGAGGAGGAGTTCTGTGCTGTACCTGGCCTTTTCAGCTGGATTTGAGGGATTTACTGCTGCTTTAATGTTCTTCTCGAAGGTATTGAACAGAAGGCCAATATTCATCTGAAGAATTTCTCTAGAAAAGAAGCAGAATAAATTTACTAGTTTTAAAACTTTCACACAATTATACATGAAAACCTGAGAACCTGCTTTTCTCTTATGATTTGATAACATGCACTGAGTGTAGCTAAGAGCTATTAAGCGCAATTAATATGGCCAGTTTTTAGTTCAGCTGGGGTGCAGTCACCACTCTAATGTGACTGCAGAATGAGAGGAGAGGTGTTAATAAGCAGTCTCATGAGGTGTGGCCATGTAAAATAGCAATCTAGAAACTCGATTGTTCTCTAGGCTATTTGGTTTCCCTGGTATGGTTTTTGAGTGCATGGGTTTCAGCTAGGGAAGATGACTGCTGAAAATAGCAGCTGAAGTGGTTGAGGTCTTTGGTAAGGAGGGGCAGGATTAAGAAAGTGGTTATTATATTTAAAAAGTAATTTTTAGCTTCTTATTAAACAAAGAGATTATCTTTATACAGTATCTGGTGGGAAGAAACTCCTTTCTACCTAATGAATATATCAGTGGAAATTGAAGATGAGTGTGACTAACTCTCCTGGGTGTTGTGGGAATGGGGTAAATCAGTCTTTCGTTACCTGAGAGCTCTAATACATTGTAAAAAGACAGTCCTATACTACCACCTGAGAAGAGCTGGTGAATGTGGCAGCTGCAAATGAATCTGAAGGGAAAATGACTGCTAGGCTAGCAACTCATCCAGCCTTTACAAACAACTGTGGAGGAGGTAATTAGCTGCACGTAGCAGCAGATTCTCTTTGCAAGTAGTTACATGTGTGCAGGACCTGGCATCACTTTTTCCGCTAGCGCCAGCGCTTTTCAGCCGAGCTGTGCAGGTGCCATCCCCAGGATAAGCTTCCCAGGCTGGAATTTGGACTGTACTTGTGCAACTGCATGGGCAGCCTCAGGGCATGGGCTGGAAGCATCTCCTCTTTTCTTTTGCCACTGTTTCACCTAAACCCCTGTGGCAACTGAGGCCTTCACTGCCTACCTCAGTGGCATTCTTG